GTGTGCGTGCGTGCGTGCGTGTGTGTATATGTGTGTGTGCGTGCGCTCGTGCGTGTGTGCGTGCGCTCGTGCGCGTGTGCGACAGAAGGATGTTTAAATCCCCGCTCGTTATATGATATGAATCCTCCATTAATCCGATTAATTTAACTCCCGGCGGTATTCGGATTGAAATTCTACTCCCAAGTTCGTTTCTGTAACCTAGGTAATCAGTACTCGTGTCAGCGTGTACTCGTGCGCGCGCCCGTGCGTGTGTGTGCGTGCGCTCGTGCGTGTGTCTATGTGCGCGCGTGCGTGTGTCTATGTGCGGCGTGCGTGTGTCTACGTGCGCTCGTGCGTGTGTGCGTGCGCTCGTGCGTGTGTGCGTGTGCTCGTGCGTGCGTGCGTGCGTGTGTGTGCGTGCGCTCGTGCGTGTGTATGCGTGCGCTCGTGCGTGTGTGTGCGTGCGCTCGTGCGTGTGTGCGTGCGCTCGTGCGTGTGTGTGCGTGCGCTCGTGTGTGTGTGCCTGCGCTCGTGCGTGTGTGCGTGTGCGCTCGTGCGCGTGTGTGCGTGCGCTCGTGCGCGTGTGCGCCCGTGCGCGTGTGTGCGTGCGCTCGTGCGTGTGTGCGACAGAATGATGATTAAATCCCCGCTCGATATCTAATATGAATCCTTTATTAATCCGATTAATTTAACTCCCGCCGGTATTCGGATTGAAATTTTACTCCCAAGTTCGTTTCTGTAACCTAGGTAATCAGTACTCGTGTTAGCGTGTACTCGTGCGTGCGTGCGTGCGTGCGCGTGCGCTTGTGCGTGTGTGCGCGTGCGCTTGTGCGTGTGTCTATGTGCGGCGTGCGTGTGTCTATGTGCGGCGTGCGTGTGTCAGCGTGCGGTCGTGAGTGTGTGCGCGTGTACTCGTGCGTGTGCCTATGCGCGCGCGTGCGTGCGGTCGTGCGTGTGTGCGCGTGCGCTTGTGTGTGTATGCGTGTACTCGTGCATGTGTGTGTGCGTGCGTGTGTGCGTGTGTGTGCGCGCGTGCGCTCGTGCGTGGGTCTATGTGCGGCGTGCGTGTGTCTGCGTGTACTCGTGCGTGTGTGTGCGTGCGTGTGTGCGCGTGTGCTCGTGCGTGTGTGCGTGCGTGTGGTGTGCGTGCGTCGTGCCGTGTGTATCTCTGCGCTCTGCGGGTATGCGTGTGCTCGTGCGGCGGCGTGCGTGTCATGCGTGCGCTCGTGCGATATCGTATGCGTGCGCTCCAGTGCGTGTGTGTGTGCGTGCGCTCGTGCGATGTGTGCGTGCGCTCGTGCGTGTGTGCGACAAGAAGAATGCTAAATCCCCGCTCGATATATAATATGCAATCCCTTTCATCTCAAATCCGATTAAAATTACTCCCGCGATATTCGGATCGAATCCTACTCCCAAGTTCGGTTTCGCAAGTAACCTAGGTAATCCGTCACTCATCTAGCCGCCGGCGTCATCGCCATCGGCGGCCAACGCTGTTGTCATCGTTTGATTTACTTGTCACTGGCTTCATTTGCTAGTTTTTTCTCAGACATCTTTTTTCGCTGCGCTGTTTCGCCAAATGGATTCTTAATGAGTCAATGGCGCAGCAGCTCTCTCTCCCCTTGCGTGCTCTCTCTCTCTCTCTATCTCTCTCTCTCTCTCTCTCCTCTCTCTCTCTCTCTCTCTCTCTCTCTCTGCTCTCTTCTCTCTCTCTCTCTCCTCTCTCTTCTCTATATATATATATATATATTATAATATATATATATATATATTATACTAAATATATATATATATCATATATATCGCGCGGCTCTCTCTCTCTCTCTTTCTCTCCTCTCCTCTCTCTCTCTCTCTTCTCTGCTCTCTCTCTCTGCTCTCTTCTCTCTCCTCTCCATCTCTCTCTATATATAATATATAGTACATATATACGCGCGCGCTCGTCTGCTCTCTCTGTCTCTTTGTTTCGCTCTCGCTGTGTCTCGTTCTCTTCACCTTTTCTCAGCTCTCCTTTTCGTTGTTGCTCTGCTTTCTCTCTGCTCGTTCACCGACTCGTTTCGCACTCCTCCTTTTCTATCTCTATCATCCGCTCTCTCTCTTCCTCTGCTCTCTCTCTCCTCTCTCTCAGATCTCTCTTGCTCTCTCTCTCCACATCTGTCCTTTGCCTCTCTGTCTGTTTCTCTTCTCTTCTCTCATCCTCTCTTCTCTCTCTTTTCTCTCTCA